TTAAGTTCCTAAGCAGCAACCCATTGTAGCTACAAGCACGTTCGCGCGTGTTGGCACTGCTCAGCCTGCGCAGCCCCAAGGCTTCTACTCTGAGACAGCCAACCCCAGGATACGGCCCATGATTGATTGGATTCCGCAACTTGCCCAGAGAATTGATTTGTCCGACGAAGAGCGCGGCATTTTCGCATGCTTGATCCATCCTGCTGGTTTCCAGCCGCGGTACACGGCAGCAAGCTCGATAGCACAGATGTGTCTTGATTGCAGCTGCGTCAATCATCCCTGTGTAACCCCTATATCCCCCCTATATCACTATGTTACCCTATATTACCCCTATGACAAAGAAAGCGCCCAAAACAGTATGCTCCAGGGGTTTTCGGCCTTCTGAAGACTCACAGCTAATGGGAGGACAGGCTCAGTTTACTCAGTGAATATAACCCAAAGGGTCCATGTAGCTATATGGCATATACTTGGGCCTTAAAGTAGGTAGGGAAGGAACCCCTTTAGGCCTTAAGTAATGTAAGATTAGCATACACTGAAAGCAATCTGGCACTGTGTGGCTAGGATTGGTTAGTGTATGGAGTTTGGATAAAGCAGTGCTGTGGACAGCAGTGATGCATCACATTGCCATGTGATCATGCTGTTGTCTCCTTTCAATTTGTGAGTTTTGAGGTTTCGGCTAGATTGTGAAGATGCCACGCAGCTGCAGATCCGGCACTGCCTGGTAAATGGGCTGGCATGCTGCCTTGCTTTGGAAGAATCAAAGCGACACCACTGCTGGCTGCACATGATCCAGCCAAGCAAATTGCATGGCACCTTTGGTTTCGGAAGCACTTGGAAGCAAGCTATCGGCAGGGTGCACTACGACTGTGGGTGCGAGTTCCAGTATGATGGCACCCTCCGCCTTGGAAACAACTCTAATGACCATTGGCCTGCTCCGGTGGCAGTTGCCAGCTATTTCCAGAGTTGGGGCGCCCTTTGCATGAATTTCGTGTTCTCTGCGTCAGCCGATGAGAGCCTGTTTGACAAAGTGCTCACGCCCTCTGCCATCCACTCAGAGAGTCAGACGAATGGTCCGATTCTTGGGTTTGACGTTGTGGGTAGCTGTGGAAGCAGCTTCAGTACCACCAAGGTGGTTATGTGCTATACTCGTAAGTGACATGGGCTCCTTGTCATAGCAACTCAGTTTGAGTTAGCCTGCCTAAGAACAACCTAGCTTCGTTCACTGACGGAATGTTCGTGACTGTGCCAAGAACGCTCGTACTAATGGCTAGTACGCCAATGCGTAGCCTGCCCACGTAGTGCCGGGACTTATTGTAGTAAATCTTTGCAGCGGCGCGGTGGTGGCGGTGCATTGTTTGACCAGCGTTTTCTGCTTTGCAGACCCGTGCTACTACACCGAGGACATACCTGAACGCTCATGGGGAGGAGAGGGCAGACCAAACCGCAAATTTCTGCTATCAGCGAACGGCGACTGGGTAGGCCCCTGAAATATTTGATATTTTCCCTAATGGCTTTAATAAGGGACCCTATATACTAATATTTTTCAAAGGGCTTTAGGGGCCAACGCAGGCAACAGCTTGGTTCTACTTGCGCAACCATTTGCAACTTGGAGCTGAGCAATTGGCGGCCACCTGGCTGACCCTCTTAGCTGTGATCTGGTAATTGGGTGGCCTGTGAAAGGCAGCAAGGATTAGCCTGTTTTCAAACCTTTGCTCAGGTTTTCATGAACCGCGTCCAGGAGCGCATGGCAGCACAATCCGAGCAGTTCAAGCAAATCTACCATGATGTTCAGTCGCAGATTCCGGCGGAGACCGCCTTTCGTGATATTTTCAATGAGGAAAGACGCTCGCTACCAGAACTCATGGATCGCTTGCAACAAGGCAACGTTTCGAGGATCACAAAGTCCATACCCAGAAGGGCAACCCATGCAGACTTTGCAATTGCCCTTTCCGAAGCAACAAGCGACCCCTGGGCTCGTCTAGTGCTTCGATACACCTCTGCCAGCCAAGTTTCCTGGCTGCAGGTTAAGGTTCTGAAAGTCCCCCATATTCTCCCGCAAGCCTTAGCTTTCGATGAGGACCTCAGCTTGATTGGTCTCGTGCCATCCATGCTTCGCTTCTATGTGTGGCTCCACAACGATTTTGCCGACTTCCTCAGCAGCAAGGGCTGGTCGCTTGAGGATGTTGCAGACCTGACCATTGGCCAGGCGGTGCAGGACCGTGCCTGCGGTCGATCAGCACAACCAGTCTGTAATAGTCCGCCGCAGACTCCTAAAAACACGAAGCAGGTTGAGTCCTAGGTCCTAGGTTCATGTTGAAACCACATGAGCTTGGTTTGTGCGATCTGATCCCAAGTGAGTGCCAGCACAGGACGTTGCACATGTGGGTAGCGCACGTGGCCGAATCGGACGCTTAAGCATGTCAGAGTGCTGAAAGGAGTGCTGCCGCCGCGGTGCCCTGGGCCAGTCCCACTGCGAGCGCCTTTGCCGTGAGGCTCTGGAAAGCTGCCAAAAGTTCCTGAAGGCAACGCAGGGCTGGCTGCCCATAGGTGGCTGCGAAGAGCATGTGCGCCGCTTTGCCTGCAATTCTAGGTTCCATGTTCCCGATATGTAACCCCAATATACTATAGTAGTTCCATTATCCCAATGTGACACTATTCCTACCTTGGCTCACCATCCGGTATGACCACAGTGTCTTGCTTCTTGTCAGGCATACCTGCAATTGATTCTGAGACGCCGCTTATCGACATCCTTTCTCTTTCGGGGACACATGATGGTCATGATTTCCTTTTCCGGATCTTGGACTACGTCCTGAAGGTCCGGGAGAGATACCTGGACAGTGTGGAATGCGCATGCCAAGCTTTGGAGGCCCCTCCAGCTTTGCAGCAAGCACTTGAGCTAAGAGGAACAGCTGCGCTGACTGCAATCCTGAACACGGCAAAGCTTGACCAAGAATGCTCCTTTCGACTGGATGGTTTTGCAGACCTTGCGATTGCCAGCTGTCTGGACCCAGTATGCGAGGATAAGACCCGCTTTGACTTCCGGACATTGGCCTGCCATGTGTTGCTTGCCACCTGGAACGGCAAGAGCAGCTTGAGCCCGGACAGTGTTCGTGGTTGCATACGACTGGCACCTAGAGCTGATTCCGTGGCTGAGACCAGAGATGCCATGGACTTGTTGCCGGCCAGATTCCGAGAGGAACCGCTTCCCGAAAGTCAGGAGTTGTCCTACCTGAACGCAAGCCTGCGAGCATTCCGACAAGCAGACCTCCTGGCCGGTGAGCAGGAATTATGCCGTGCAGCCGAAGTCCTCAGGGACTCAGACCTCACGGGCAACGAAGACATTCTGCCAGGATTTAAGTCAATTGGCATGCAGCTGCCTGATGCGCTTGCAGAGGCCTTGGTTGAAAAGGTCTGTGTGTCCATTGATGCTCCCGCAAGTTCCAGCAGCACTCAGACCATCGGCGCGTTGAATCCTGCATGGAAGACGAAGCACGTCGCCGTAGTTTGGAGAGCACTTCGCTCCAAACTCCACATCCGAGATTTCACCTTCGTGCAAGTACCGGATGGTTTGAGACGTTGCAGCATCGATCACGAAACCTTCCAAGAGCTTGAGCAGGTAATCCAGCAGCACAGCCCAACGATGGAAGAGATTGACTTGGCACTCTCAGTATTGCTCAGCCTCTTGAACAAGTTCTTGGACTTCAAAGACCATCCAATGAGCCAGGTCCTAGACTGGGTAGAATGCGAAGTTCCCTTTTTGAAGAGCCTGCCAAGCCAGCTGCGAGGCCGGACAAGCCAGGTTGTGCAAGCACAGCATGCAGAAGGCAAAGACAAGCCGCGTTTGTTATGAATTCGGGCTTATATGAGGGGTATAATGGGGATAATGGAACATAAAATGGCAACTGCAGGGGTCACATAGGGGTTATATTAGGGTTATATTGTCCCTGAAGGTTACCACTATCGGGCGCTGTGCCTGTTTCTGTGGCATGCTAGGGAACAACTGGCGGCCCAACCTGCTGGTGACCCTGGTGTGCTTGGCGTCGAGGTCTGGTGGGAGTGTGCCTTGGGTTGCAGAAGCGGGTTTAGGGTTTAGGGGTGTAGGGCTCATGGTTTTTGGTTTAGGGTTCCGGGTTGAGGATTAATTTAAGGTTCAGGGGTACGTTTCATGAGGACTGTTTGAAAAGACTGTTTGGAGACAAGGTCCCGTGGAGACCAACCACGTCTTTGCCCAGTGTGCAGGCCAAGATGAAGATTCCTTTGCCCAAGGTGGCGATGCATTGGATGGAGACATGCCAACAGCAAACCAGCAAGAACCACGAAACCTGGACTCGGACATGCCTGCTTGCGACGCAGAAGGCGACACCGCGAGTCCCAAGGGCCATGCTTGTCACAGCAACGTCTTCCGTTGGTGTGATGAGGACAGCGTTGAGATGGGCTTCATATGTATAACACATGTTGCATGAGCTCCTGACACTGCACACCCATGCAGAATTGTCTGCCTGTTGGCCAGGATGACGAAGCACTGGACCAAGCAGAGCAAGAAGAAGAAGCAGCAGCTATAATCGGAAGAAGCGCACGAGCTTGGCTGCAGCGCTTGCAGCAGCAACGCCAACAACAGAGCGGCTTGCCTGCAGCGTAGCATGCCGGGTACCATGCAGTATCATGCAGTCACATGTGGAAACCTACATGAAAGCAAATTGCCTTGGCTCACAGACTGATGGCAGGGTGCTGGGCATCCTGCCCACTTCAGCACGCAATCACACACAGTGCTCCATATTGCATCAGGGCATGCTGCTGGACATGCGTCTCAGGTGCCGTCACGTATGCTTACAAGACCTGGCGGATTGCGACGCAAGCTGCTGGCAAGTTGCAAAGCGCCTTCAGGAGACATCGACTGCGAACGCAGGTGCTTGGAAAGTCCTGCAAGTAACTACACAGTAGTTATATGGGGATAATGGAGAAGACAATGGAAACTATTATAAATAATGGGTTATATAGGGTTCAGGGATTAGGGTCCCATTGTAGAATGTTGCAAAATGAACAACAAGCCCATTGGCAGGCTGCTCGTCGCCCCGCCTCTCCAACTTCCTCCGTGCCTGCCATTCCCGAGCAAATCTGTGAGGCCAGATCAAATAAGAACTCTCCGTGGAAGGCAGCCAAGACTATGGGATTTGATGTGTGCATTCAATTTCAGGCTTGATACAGAGATCACTTAGTTCATCAGACGGCCAAGTATATGGAAAATGCTCATGCAAGCTGTCCGGTCTATGCAGGCAGGCGACATGAAGTTGGACCAGTCGTTTGCCATTGTATTGCAGCGTGCGTGGAGGCAGGCATATTTGCATCTGCTCATTGCAAGTGGGGTTGCAGTCTGATCCCAGTACTGCTACCTATATCCTAAATCCAAAGCCCAAAACCTGTAGGGTTTGGGGTGATGAATGCCGCCAGCAGGTGCTTGCTCGCAAGGCGCCGATGCCGAGCTAGTCTCACCCGACTGAAGACTCGACTCAGGCTACTTGGAACGTGTTGAGCAGTTGGCAGCAAGCGCAACATGTTAGCGCTTCAACTAAAGGGGGAATGCACATTTGAGGCTTTTGAGGCATTTCCTGAGATGCTGGCTTCGACGGAAATCCCCGGTGGCTTTGAGCTGGGCTCCAACTCCCGATCATTTGCTTGTTGGTGCACTTGGCTGGGCAGCAGTCCGGCAAGCAGGTGATACTGAGCATGAGAACGGTAAGAACGCGAAGTGGAGTGTCTGTTCATGCGCTGATCACAGTCAGAATTTGGAATTGTTAGTAACAAAGTCCTGAAGGTATGCATGACGTGCTGCCACAAGTTTGACACCTCCACACAACGCCTAGGCTATGGTGCATGCGGGCCAAAGATCTTCAAGCTAAAATGTCCACGAGTGCTGCCAGTGGCCTTGAAGGAACTCCTAGGCTCAGGATACTTGTCCAGATGTGAATTAAAGGGCATATTATTGTTGTTTCCATTTTCTTTTCCACTATCCGTATATAACCGCAATATATACCCTATAGTAGTTTCCATTTTCCTTTTTGTGTTTCTTGGGGCAGGAAGTATTATACCGGGGGTAAAGGGAGTGTACCTGCAGCTTTCAGTCGTTTCTCCTTGCAGACTCGCTGCTGTGATCTTTAG